AGATGAACTCTAATTTCACCTTCAAATTAACAGCTAATCCTAGAGACTTTTGCCGCTCACAGATATGTAATATTGGATCATTTTCCTGAATAAATAAATGACAAAGTATATATTTTTGTATCATTTGCTTGATTGGGTTCTCTTTGTCAACTTTCAGGACTTGTGAAAATCTAATTGTGTTTTGGGTCATATTTATGCAGAAATCTAGAAAATTCTAAAGGGTTTACAAACTTTCAAGCAGAAATTAATTAAATTAATCGTTGCATCGTGCTGCAGACACTTTTGTGGGACACTTTTTATGATGGATGGATACTCTTTATTTGACGTCTTTTGGACTATTGTAAAATAACACCCATTCACTGCCATTATAAACTTGGAGGAGCCAGGACATTTTTTAACTCCGATTGGATTCGCCTGAATGAAGAAAGTCATATGGCGCTTTTCCAGGTACGACTCGGCACGGCACGGCACGGCACGGCACGGCACGGCACGGCTCGGCTTGCGTTTCCACTGCAGTTTAGTATCGCTTTAGAGTGGGCGGGAATTATTCACATGTCGTTATAGTTGCGCCGCCTCAACTGCTGTGACTCCTGAAAAACGTTTTCATTCCACGTCGCCCCATCAAGCTCTCGCTGGATCCGCTCCTCTGCTATCAACGAGAGGAACGTCTGTACTTCCTCAACAGACAATGAAACAGCCACTTTTTGGTTGTTAAAAAAAAGGTGCGCTCGTTCAAAACAGTTGCGTTCGATCCTTCGCTCGCTGTGCTGATTTAAATCTAGCGGTTCTGTTGTGTTTGTGGCGCAAGTTCAGTGACGTAGGTAGTGACAATTCTCTCCGGCCAATCCGTGATCGGCAGAGTTTACACGTCACGTTTTGGTAACGGTATGGTTCACTTGGAACCTCAACCGAGGTGGTACTAAAAAAAGTACCAGGTACCAGGTACTGTACCCAGTGGAAAACCCCCCAAAAGTGAACCGTACCGAGCCGTACCATGCAGTGGAAAAGCGCCAATAAACACCTAGGATGGCTTGAGGGTGAGTTAGGGCTGTGCAATTAATCGGAAAACAGTTTCGATTTCAATTTTGGCCTCCAACTATTATGAAAATACAATAATCGAGATAAAACGATTATTGCCCCCCATTCTGCCCCCTTTTCCAGCGCTGTGCTTTCGTTCCTCCATAAAAGCATTTCACGTACAAATCAGTAAAATCATGTAACGTGACTTTTGTAAAATGGGACGTGCTTGATTTATAGAAGTATATTTATTCATGTTTTTAAAAGCGTGAAAAAGAACTTGCGCTGCTCCTCAGGAAGATATATGTGCTCACAGACGGAACTGAACACGGACATGTAAAGTCATCTTTTAGCTCAAGGTGCACACCTAAATGGTCAAATACACGCAAAAATGTGTCAAAATGCGGCGCTTAGTGGTTATTCATGTATACCTTCGTCGGCCATGTAATAAATAAACATAAAGAGTTAAGAATGTAAATACGCGTGTAACGGTAAATTGGATCCGTGCGGCTCTTAAAATGACAGTGGGCTATTTTCCTGCTGCGACTGTGTGCTTAATATTAATCAAATAACAAAAGACAAATTCTAAATTATACACGGCTCGAGTGAAGGACTTTTGTAGCTTTAATAAGAAACAAAAAAGTTTAATTCTTACAGTGAAGACTATACTGTTTTATTTTACATTTGATCATTCATTAGTAGGCTGTAAACTGCTTGAGACTTGCATAAAAACAATAAAGCACAGTTTGTTTCATTTGTACCTTTTATTCTATTGTATTTGTCCTTTGATTTTTTATTACTGACAGTTTAATTATTTTCAATAATTTTGAGGACTTTTTGTGTTTGTTTGTTTGAAATTCCGCCGGTCTCTTCAATGTAGATGTCATATCAACCTTATTTACAGGAAATATATATTTGATATTTATCACTATCTTTAAATAAATCACTCATATAAAGTTATGGTCATATGACCCCCTCATAATTGTGTTAAATAATCGTCATTACAATATTGACCAAAATAATCGTGATTTTTTTATATAATCAAGCAGCCCTAGGGTGAGTAAATTATGGGGTAATTTTCATTTTTGGGTGAACTATCCCTTTAAATTGCACACATTTTCAGTGGTCAAAAAACAAATGTGGATCACTTTGTGACATTAATAATTAAAATTGGACCTGAAAAAAGTAAAGTGTGACCCAAACTTTTATTTTTGGAATATTCATTTTAAGGCCCTATATAGTTCAATCCCATAGATATGGGGATCTCAATGCCGCTCCATGTCCAAACTGTAGAATTTTATCCATTCAGGTCGAAAACCAAATGTTTTTGTGTTTATCCAATCATGACTGTGACACCGCAAACATGTAAATAAGAAAACCCAGGGTTTAGCCATGTACAGTGTAACATGTATGATTATGAATAAACAGGATTAATTGTTAACCCGGGTTAAGTATGAGCAGTGGCTGTGAAACATAATAAGATAACCCAGGATTCCATTTACCTGGGTCGTTAACTATTTCAAGTGTGAAAGCCCTTAAATGTTTGAGCTCTAATAGTCTGAGGTACTATTAGTGATTCTGCTAAATATGGTTCGAAGTGGATACTATTTGATCTATGACTATGCTTCACATTTTATAATGAGGAAATTCTAATACTCTAAACATACTTCTAATATTCTAAACAATCCAGGTGAGGCAAATCTATAAAACTAAAAGTGTTTGCTTTTCAAGTGTTAAACTAACCTTCAAACAAATACTTGTATTCGGATAGGCTGTGTCTCTGGAGCCATTCTTCAATCTGACTTTCCTTGCCTTTCTTCCAGCGTACCTCCCAGAAGAAAATCCACGAGATTGAACAGAGGACAAAGGTCAGCAAAAAGAGACGGTCCATTAGACCATGTTTAGGCTCCACTCAGACCTCTGTGAGCTCAGGGTCTGCCTTGCTTTCTGCTGTCCTATCTGGTTCCGAGTACTTCTCCCATGTCTTCTCCTACTGGGGAAATGGACAGCATACATATAATTTAGGATTTGTGAAGCATTGTTTGATTAAGTACAAATATTTGCAGTGCATTCAGAAAGTATTCAAATTTCATTGTCACAGCATTGCACTGTGTCTACACTGGGCGTGAGTGGTACCGACATGATGCGACATGATTAAAGACAATAAAACTGATGTGGTGCAATGCAAGCGACAAATCTCCATCAGTAAACTGATGCCTTGTTCTATTAATGGCATGCTGACAGAAAGGTCAAATGGCCTGAAAATGTTGCTTTGTTGCGTCTAGCGTAGACAGCAACAACATTCACTTCCAACATTATTCAAAATAACTTATTTTGCGTTCAACAGAAGAAAGAAACTGATAAAGGATTGGAATAACTTAAGGGCGAGTAAAGGACAGAATTTAAATTTTTGGGTAAACTACCCCTTTAATGCTTAACTGAAGCACATTTAGCAGCAATTAAAGCCTCAGGTCAAGGGTATGATTTGACAAGTTTGCACACCTCAATATTTTGATGAATGTTGGGAACCAAACAATATTGGTGATCAATGACTTCCATCATATTGGGAAAAAAAAGATATTTCTCAAAATATCTTCCTTCATGTTCCACATAAAAAGAAAACATAGTTTTGTAACAACACAAGAGTGTATAAATGATGATTTAATGTTCATGCTTAGGTGAACTATCCCTTCAAGAATATCTGTTTTTTGCTACATTCAGCTTTCCTTCTACGGTGACCGGTCCCCCAGTTCCTGCCTCTGAAATACAGCATGATGCTACCTTCACCATTGAGATAATATTACACAGACGATGAGCAGTTCCTGGTTTCCTCCAGACAGATGCCTCAATTCCATGAATTATTTTTCTCACAGTCTGAGTTTTTTTTTTGTGCAAATTCCAAGTTAAAACTCAGATTGGTGGAGTGTTGCAGTGCGTTGTCCTTTTGCAAGTTTCTTCCATCTACACAGAGTCACAGACACATGATCTCAGGAACTCAACCAGTGAACATCAGGTTCTTGGTCACGTCTCCCCTGATTGTTCTGTTTGGCCGAAATGGCCTGCCCTATGAACAATTCTGCTTATTCCAAACTTCTTCAATGTCAGAGCTATAAAGGCCACTGTGCTCTTGGGAAGCTTGCCAATGCAGTAGAAAATGTTGTAGCCTTCTCAAGATCTGTGACACAATACTGTGTCTGTTCCTTAGACCTCATGGCTTGGTTTTTGCTCTGGTATGCATTTTCTTTTTTAATTTGCAAGGTTACCACAAATATACCTTGCCTCATGGCTTGGTTTTTGCTTTGTCATTATAGGGTATAGACTAGAGAACAGACTTATGTAAAAAAAATAAAGCATTTTAGCAAAATGCTGCAAGTTGCAACATAGCATAATGTGAAAAAAATGTATACTTTAACATAAATACTTTTTACAATAACAACTTTGCATCCATTCTGATGCCCTGGAGATGTACACGTGCACCCTTAGTTTCACTAAGTGACAGACTTCTGCTAAATAATAATTACTGCAGCTCTGCTATAATGTCATATTGGTCGTTGAAAATTAAAGTCATGTTATCAGTACAGACTTTAATTTGAATCTATAACATCAGTGCATACTAGAAGCAACATAAACAAAACTAAAGTCCTCGAAAATTGTTAGCATATATTGCCTACCTAAATAACAATCCAAACCTACATGTCTTTAGCTCTGAATCACAGTGGCATAAACAGAACGTATGCGACGTAGAATAATCATACAATGTCATAGAAAAACAACACTCAGTACCGAAATACCCACAATGCAGTTAAAAGTAATTAATAAACCTAAAAAGTACTGTAAGACAGTTTACTATTCATATTTAGACAACGGCTGCAGTATTGTCTTCTAGATAAATACCTTGAAGGATGTCTATTGAGAACCGGAAAGACCGCAGGATCTAGCGCTAGCATAGAAGACGCAGGAAATGACGCGGTGTAAGTAAAATGTGGACTGTGTCGCATAATGTTGACGTCAAAGAACGCTTTGTAGCAACGTGTACCACACGAGGACTAGAGTGCTAATCTCGAGCGTATTCAGCCGTCATGGTAAAATAAAGTGTTTACCTCAATAATGTTTAACAATGTACACAATATCTTTATTTCTTCTTTGGTTTAATTACAACTTGTCTTTGTGTGAATTAGGGAAAACAGAAGAAACAGAAAAAATTTGCTGCCATGAAAAGAATGATCAGTTTAAAGGATCAGAGGATGTGAGTATCAGCATCAACATCATCATCATCATCATCATTATTATTATTATTATTATTAACCTGTAAGCAACATATGGATTAAAATGCTTATCACAAGTTGATAATATTGATAGCATGTCACAAATGAGAGAATCGAATGAAATAGGAAATCGTTACAAATTACACTTAAGTTAACGTTACCGGTGTTGTGCCGAAATCGGTGACCTAGCGAAAACTGTGACCAGGGGTCGCTGCAGTGTTGCCAACCAATTTTCAGGGGAAGTTGATAAAGGAAGGTCGATTTGTTGCTAAATGAAATTTTGATGTCATTGCACGATGACATTATTACGTAATTATGACGCAAAATTACACAAATATTTTGTTTTTATGTGTATGTTATATGTATATTTATGTGTATTAGCAGTTAGTATACAAATAGGGCACAATCTATGTTAATATGAAGGAATTTTCCATATTGATTTTTCAGTTTTTTTTACCTGCATCTTAAATTAGGCATGGCATTTTGTGTTTTCGGGTTACAATGGATAATGTCCTGGAAAATAACTTAGTACCTTTTCCATTTTTCTAGATATTTTTCTTACAGTGTACTAACTGATCAACAATCGCAGGTACAAGCTACTAACAAGGTGTATCATAAATGAACAATTATTCAAATATTGAATTATCATCATTAAATTAAACAATTGCAAGTAGCAGCTAACTTAATTCATGTGAATTGTGTACTGCTATGCATCTTTGGTTTTCTCATTTTCTGTGATTTAGATGGAAAATGTGTGCTTTTTTATCGTTTGAGTCACTTATCAAAAGTTGCTAAAAGTTGGCAAATAAATTTTAAAAACAGCTAAATTTGTTGCTAGGTGCTTTTGGAAGAAAAAGTTGCTAGGGTAGTGTGAAAAATAGCTAAATTTAGCAACAAAATTGCTAAGCTGCAACACTGTTGGCGCGGGAGCGCGCACGTTAGATTAGACGCTGAAGCGAAATGGTCAGCATTTAAAAATGATCAAATTTAAACGTTTTTCAGCATTACACTTTATATATATATCTGGGTGGAGGGGGTGAACGGTAACAAGATAAATGCGTGTTGGGCAAAGGATATCCTTCTCAATCTGCATTTTTTTTTACATTGAATCTGCACATGATCAACAATCGCAGGTACAAGCTACTAACAAGGTGTATCATAAATGAACAATTATTCAAATATTGAATTATCATCATTAAATTAAACAATTGCAAGTAGCAGCTAACTTAATTCATGTGAATTGTGTACTGCTATGCATCTTTGGTTTTCTCATTTTCTGTGATTTAGATGGAAAATGTGTGCTTTTTTATCGTTTGAGTCACTTATCAAAAGTTGCTAAAAGTTGGCAAATAAATTTTAAAAACAGCTAAATTTGTTGCTAGGTGCTTTTGGAAGAAAAAGTTGCTAGGGTAGTGTGAAAAATAGCTAAATTTAGCAACAAAATTGCTAAGCTGCAACACTGTTGGCGCGGGAGCGCGCACGTTAGATTAGACGCTGAAGCGAAATGGTCAGCATTTAAAAATGATCAAATTTAAAAGTTTTTCAGCATTACACTTTATATATATATCTGGGTGGAGGGGGTGAACGGTAACAAGATAAATGCGTGTTGGGCAAAGGATATCCTTCTCAATCTGCATTTTTTTTACATTGAATCTGCACAAGAAAATCGGGGGAAAACCTGTAAGCCACAAAACAGGCATATAAATGTTTTAATTTCAATTCTGCTTTTTCTCTTGATGCCACATAATACCTTAACATATTATTTTAATTTTTTTTTCATTAAGTGCAGATTCTTATATGTATAACAAAAAGCTCATATAAAAACAAGCTTAATGTATAGCTCTTAATGCTTTTTGGAAATTATTAAGCCAATTAATGGTAGGTACATGTCAAACAACTTTTGTGTAAAAGAGAAAAAAATAGAAGAGGAGCTGAAACATCACGAGTTACTTTATTAAGCATTATATGAAATAAAGAGGAGTAACACATTTCAATAGCTTAAAATTGAACCTGCCAGACCGTATTGTAGCCTATCTACAAATATATCAATATCTGATCCATTATGCTTTATTTATATAAAACACACAAAAAATTTGCTCACATATCACATGAGTCACTTTATTAAACATTTATAGTCAGTTATTATGAAATAAAATGTAGTAACATTTCAAAAGCTATGGTTTTTTTATTTGTCAGATTCAGTGACCCTGGCCAACTGCATCATATGCATTTGTAAGGAGCAAACTGTGGGATCTCCAACATTATTGGGTGTCTTTTTGTGCTTGAATGTTTAAACTGATGAGGTGTATTTGTTCGTTCAATTGCAAGAAGATCCAAAGGAGAACTCAATTCGAACACAGTGCGCGAGTACTCAGTTGAATGCGTTAAAATCTCTTGAATATTTTAATTGACAAGGCTTAAAAACACGTGCAAATGATAAGCTTTCGTGACACTACGCAGCATCGGCCCATCAACTGTCCTGAGCGTATTTCAAGCTGGTCTCGGCCAGTCTCCAGGGGCCTCCCCATAGCCGTGGGCCCATTTAATTGCCACCAACTTTCACCCCACTAGTGACAGCCCTACTGTTCATTGAACTTTCTATTCATCAAGGAATCCTGAAGAAAATGCATCACATTTCCACAAAAATATTAAGCAGCCAAATATTTTTAAATATTGATAATTAGAACCACTATTATCCATTATGCTTTATTTATATAAAACACACAAAAAATTTGCTCACATATCACATGAGTCACTTTATTAAACATTTATAGTCAGTTATTATGAAATAAAATGTAGTAACATTTCAAAAGCTATGGTTTTTTTATTTGTCAGATTCAGTGACCCTGGCCAACTGCATCATATGCATTTGTAAGGAGCAAACTGTGGGATCTCCAACATTATTGGGTGTCTTTTTGTGCTTGAATGTTTAAACTGATGAGGTGTATTTGTTCGTTCAATTGCAAGAAGATCCAAAGGAGAACTCAATTCGAACACAGTACGCGAGTACTCAGTTGAATGCGTTAAAATCTCTTGAATATTTTAATTGACGAGGCTTAAAAACACGTGCAAATGATAAGCTTTCGTGACACTACGCAGCATTGGCCCATCAACTGTCCTGAGCGTATTTCAAGCTGGTCTCGGCCAGTCTCCAGGGGCCTCCCCATAGCCGTGGGCCCATTTAATTGCCACCAACTTTCACCCCACTAGTGACAGCCCTACTGTTCATTGAACTTTCTATTCATCAAGGAATCCTGAAGAAAATGCATCACATTTCCACAAAAATATTAAGCAGCCAAATATTTTTAAATATTGATAATTAGAACCACTATTAATAACTGATAATAACTTGGCACAAAATCAGCATATTAGAATGGCCTCTGAAGGAGCACGTGACACTAAAGTCTGGAGTAATGGCAGATAAAAATTCAGCCTTCCCATCAAGGGAATAAATTACATTGTAAAATGTTTTCAAATAGAAAACATATATATTCAGTTGTAATAATATTTTACGATATTACTGTTTTTTACCGTTATCTTTAAAAAAAAAAAATACAGGCCTTGGTTAGCATAAGAGACTTATTTAAAAAAAAAAAAAAAGTATGACCAGTGGTGTACTTTCTATGGCTGAGACAACAAATCGAAGCATTGCGAATCGAGAAATGATTCTGCTTTGATTCTGAGATTTTCCAAATGCATCGCGTTCTGTTAGATATTGCTTTATTTGCCTGAGCAGTGGTTTGGGTGGCTCGGCAATGTTCTAGATTTCTCTAATACATAAAATACCTCCCGCTAGAGATCCTGCAGTCTACAAAAAGTTCCTGAAGAATGGTGTTGCTTTGTTACTCTAATTGTGTGGACCATTTGGTTCACACCTTTACAAACAGTTTCTGTTGATTGAATCTGAGACACAGTCACAATGTAAATGCATCTGAACTGACGTACACATAATCTTTCAGTACATTTCACACTTGCAATAGGGCTGGCGATATACAAAAATTCAAATTTGAGGGGCGTGTTTGAACTTTGTGCTCACATCTTGCATCTTTTGCAGTGTCTCTTGCATGAAACAGTGTTAAAAAAATGCTCCCATAACCTTGCTCATAATTTTTTCCATTCTTTTTTTCCAGAAAAGAACAGGACAGGGCAAAAACACAAAAGAAGAAGAAAGAAGATCCCTCAGTCATTAAAGAACAAGAAGTGTAAGTTTGAATTCAGTATTTCTGACTGTTTGTATTACTTTGCATCTGTTGATGCATGCTGATTCATAAATTGCAGACATTTCAATATGCTTATTTGAATGGCATGATATATGGGGGCAGTTGTGGCCTAATGGTTAGTGAGTCGGACTTGTAACCCAAGGGTTGCTGGTTCGGGTCTTTGTACTGGCATGGGTTGTAGATGGGGGGGGGGAGTGAATGATCAGCGCTCTCATATCCACAAGACCCTTGAGCAAGGCACCAAACCCCTCTCTGTGTGTTTGCTACTCACTACTGTGTGTGTGCACTTGGATGGGTTAAATGCAGAGCACAAATTCAGAGTATGGGACACCATACTTGGCCACACGTAACAATTTCGATATATCAACATTGACCGTATACAGCTTGATTATATATATCTATTCTATTTTTTTTCTCCAAATATAGAATAGCTGTTAGTGAAAAGTATGGGTTTGGGACTTTAAAAAGTTAATCAATGATTCCCAGAGGCACATAAACGTTAATCAGAACTTCACGTATTAATACAACCATACAGAACTTCAAAGCTCTAAGTAGTGGCCTCTCCATATTCGATTTAATAAAGCATTTTGAAGATACTTCTGTCATGGTAAATTCCATCCTCGCATGTAAAACAAAATAGTTACAATAGTTAAACTTAATTTAAAATGACAGAGTATTTATCTGTAACATACAAATACAAATTCAACTTTAAATTATTTTTATATACTCTCCAGTAGTTTTGTCAAAAGTACCTGTTCTTCAAGTCAATACTTAAATTTTAAAAACGTAATAATACCAGCCTTTCCGCAATACCAGTAATGCAGAGTAGCGGATCGATCCAGTACCTGTTAATAGGCAGCAGCTTTTAGTCTTTACTGTATTTGTGTGAGCGCTCTGTGAAGAGCGTCAGAGATTTCTGTTTACAATGTGTTTTTGCAGCGATGAGTATTGTTGCCAATTACAGAAATATTTGTGTGAACGCAGTGGCCAATCAGAGCTGTTTAAATCAGAACCTTCTCAGTAGAGTGTAACAGTCGGGTTCCGGAAATAAAAATGCCATTCATTTTGTCCAAAGGAGAAGGTTTTTAACAATAACTGATAAACCTTAAAAGATAGACCAGTTGTGAGCTCCGAGGTTGTTTATCAATTGTATATGCTTTTGTTAAAGCCATCTGTTTGCGTCAATTCAACATATTTTTTTAAATAATCTCGTTGAATAGCAGAATTTTTGGTGAAAAACTGCATTACCCATGGCACTGTACAGAAAATTCCACCAATCTGAGAGTCACAGTGAACAAAGTGCACCAAATGAGCTCTGAATAATTTTTGATTTCTCCATAGTTTTTAGCCTACTTCATGGGAGTTTTTTCGTTCACCAAAACCGTTATATATACATTCTTGTACATGTCTTTTTGTCAGATTTTCATATACTTTTTTGCTTCAAATAAAATTTTTTAATGTTTTCATTCACCATGTAGCTGTTTGGCTTGGTTCATGGCTTATTATAGAGCTTTAACAAAGACCTTTTAAAAATCCCAATAGAAAAAATTATTCAGAAACAAGTGCCACTGAAAACGGGGAACACTATAGAGCAAAACGGTCAGGTTCTGGAAGCTTGGTGAACTGAAGTGATATTAGCTTCATTGATTATAAAGAGAGCACTCTTTGCTTGGATTCTCTATGTAACCCATTCATAATTTGAATAAAAGTTTTATTTTTTATGCTGCTATGTACACACTGCAGAGTTTAGAGAGTGAAGGACAAAAATCTATCGAAATAGATCCAGATGGATAACAGACCAACTATGATCCATAGAACCCCTAATTTGAATTAATTGGCTGTTTTTGTCCATACAGTGAAATTCAATGGGGTCCATAAGTTTCTTGCACCAAAAGAACAAACGGTAATCTGTACAACTGTACAATCTGTACCAGTGGTATTATCAAGTCTTCTTAGGTAGATGATCACTTTATAAGTTTTAGGCATCAGAATATCAAAAATCCAATTTGTAACTTCTGTCAGGCCTAGTTGAACACCACAAACATGTCATCATAGAAAGTGAATTTTAAAATTCATTGCTCAAGCTTCTGTTCTCTTAAACTTCTGTTTAATTCCTGTAGTGATAATTATAGTAATACTTTTAAATATTTGTGTTTGCATTTAATTGTATATAATAATTTTGTGCGTTATCTTTCTTTCAGAGCAAAATACCCATCTTGTATGTTCTTTCAATACAACACCCAGCTTGGACCTCCATATTACATCCTTGTTGATACCAACTTTATCAACTTTTCTATTAAGGCCAAATTAGATGTTGTCCAGTCAATGATGGACTGCCTCTATGCTAAATGTAAGTCTCAACACTCTCAGAATTATTTTCATCAATGCTGATGTGAAAGAGGATGGGTGTATTTTGGATGTATTGATCACTGTAGAGATTCCTATGCAGCAGCATTGAACATACATGATGCTGTATGTTCAGTGCTGCCGCATAGGAATCTCTACAGAAATAGATCCAGGCCTGGTCCTCTCTCGTCCTTCAATGTTGTCACTCCTCTTTTTATCCTTCCGGAGCTCCTCCGTGGGAATCGAGACCGGTGTGGCGCACAGGTGATGATCATTATCACCGGCCTCACTCCATTCCCGCGGCTCTTGGCCCCTCCCCACTCTTCACACAGAGTTTACAGCATACACTCTGTGCATACAGTTCACAAAACCTTATCTATATTTGTATATCACATAATCATGTGGTGTATACAGGACTGGAAATGGAAACTGTTACTTTAACAGATGTGATGAAATAGATAACACTGTTAGTCTAGTCCAAAAACCGCTTGCGTTATTGAAACGTATATTGAGTAAAAAAAGTTTCATAACTGCGTGTGATGAGGGAGATGAACTGATTAATAGTCTATGGTAACATCACCAAAACAATAATCTTTCAATAAAATAAAATTTCATCCTTTTTAACCATTGTTTTTTTTTTTTTAAAGAAAGTAAGAATGAAAGGATGAGCCAGTTGGTTGATTTCCATGCTGGTCTGCAGAAACCAGCAACAGGCTGAATGAAAATGCAAATTCACTCTCTGATAGTAGATGGTGCTTGTGAAGCAGCAGAAATATAACCGTTTCACCTGTAACCTAATTTCATTTTTATTAAAATTTTAGTTTAACTTAATGTTGTTATAGTTTATATAAATACATCTGAAAGTACCCCGTGCAAAAGTAGCTGAAGGGTGTTACAATTTAACATTTTGTCAAGTGAAATGTACTTAAATAGTTATAGATATCCTGTCCTCAGTGAGTAGAGAGCAGGGAACACTCTGTAGGGACCCTGTAAATCAGAATGCAGCTCAACTGTCAAAGTATTTTTATTATTGTTTATTATTATTATTATACAGATACATTATTACAGATATTTTAAAAACTTTGCACACTGTTCCAAGAAGTTGTTCTCTATATGTTTAAAAGGAAGAATGCATCCTTTGTGCAATGCTGTTGCTGACCAGGACTTTAGGGATAGTTCACCTAGATCATGATTTACTCACTTTCAAGTCATTCCAAACCGGTATGACTTTTTTTTTTTCTCACAAAATAATATATTTAACAAAAATAACAAAAAAATAAATTAACTAATTAATTAAAAGCAAAATATCTTACCTGTTCTACAGAAGAATTAAAGTCATACATGTCTGTAATTACATGAGTGTGTAAATGATGGTAATTTTCATTTTGTAGCCTGTTCTTGAGATGGGAATTTTTTTTTTAATCACAATTTCTGCACTGATTACTCATAAAATGTGATCTGGGGTCATATGCTTAAAACGTTTTAGAAATGCTCTTAAGAACAGATCACACCTAAGTGTTGTGGCATAACTATAGTGACATATAGAAAAAATGGCCATCCTCACCACTGAATCAATCAGTAGTGTGTTTGCAAGGGTGTGACGTAATAGTATTATTTGGCACCAATCATTTGTTCATAATTTATTACAACACAAAATGGTATTTTAGTAAAAGGTTTCTTTGTTGAATACTTTTTGATGGATGAATTGAGAATGACAATTTTAATTTCCTGTATTTATTCATTTAAATGTTTATACATTTTTACTCTGAGTGCTTTATGCATACAGCCCCTGATCCTCATACAAGTTACACAATCTGATTAAACTAATAACATACATTTGTAGTTTTCAAGCTAATACATTTCTGTGCATTTATGTTGTTGTGTTATTCAGGTGTCCCTTGCATAACAGACTGTGTGATGGCTGAGCTTGAGAAATTAGGGATGAAGTATCGAGTGGCTTTGCGGTAATGCACATTTACATGACATACATGTAACAGTAACCGTGTCTTTTGAACACTAGGGACCAAACCAATATTTGGGGGCAGGGGCATATCAATAATAATTTTTATTTAAATGTCCTTTTTTAATTTATTTTTATTGAACATTTAAAGGGTATATTGAAAAACTGTAAAATAAGTATTGTTTGTAAAATCAAGTTGAACTATTTGCAAATAATAGTTTTATTTTAAAATATGCACACATTCACTTTGAATCATATTCAATTATGAATTACATGAATCACACCTATATTTTATATGTTAAACAGAAAAACTTGACACATTTCTTTCATAAAACACTTGGCAAATATTAAATGTTTAGCTACTTAAATCTGGCACTCTTTCACTGTTAAAACTAAAGCGCTGGGATGCACACTCGGATTCTCTGAATTGATTGGCCATCTTAATCATTTTGGCATTGATGAGCGCTGTTACACCCCTGAGGCAGTTGATCCTAAAAATGTATTCCCTAAAACGTTGTCATCCTAACAACACACAGTGCAGTGTGTAACGTACGTAGTACAGCAGACCAGCACCAGGAACAACAAACATGCCTTTCTCGACTAGAACATTGGAAATCAACTTTCATTCTGCTTTGTTCATAAAATATTAGATGTAGTTGGTGGAAAAGGATTATCCTGTCCTGTCCTCCCAGAAGACAAAATAATTACTGTTTGCACAGGTCATCTTGTTGAAAAGTATACATCACTTAACTTTTAAAGGTTCATGAAATCCTGTGTTTCAGCACTGATTAGTTCCCACCGCAGTTTTAAAAAATACTAAGTGGATGTGGTAAGCTGTGAAGTGGAGGGGGAAGAGGCGAGACAGACAGCACAACAAAGGCTTCTGAGATAGTCAGTTTAATTTTGCGCTCACTGAGTTGAAAGCATCAAAGGTTTCCACAAATGCACACTACAGTTCACTCTTTCACAGAACAAAAAGAACAAATATATATGGTATGTAAGCTCAATGTACATTACACAAATACACAAATAAAGGATATAATTTAATGCACAAATAAATGCATATGCATGATAAATATCTTGCAGAAATCTGTCTGTTCTAGTACTCTCTGATCATAGAAAAAATAACTAGCTTTGTTTGCCCTTAGCATGTCATCCTTAGACTTGTCACAATGTTGTAATTAAAAGGCATTTTTCTGTTTAGAGATCATGTGTGAACAGGACCAGTTTTTGAAATCAGCTGCAGCATTTGCTGGCTTAAGTAGTAGTAACTTTGCAGGAAAAGTTCACCGTTGTTGCAGTGTGTGCCACTGCAGTTGGTCATAAGATTAACTACATTGTGGATAGCTATGTCATTTACTGTACATTTTTGAACAGTTTGTACAATTTGATGACATCACCGTTTCAACAATTTATATTACATTTACATTTAATCATTTAGCAGACGCTTTTATCCAAAGCAACTTACAAATGAGGTAAAAAGAAGCAATCTGTAATCATTTTTGCTCTGATTTGTGAATGGCAGACATCCCACCTCTCCTGGAGTGTCCCGCATATTGATAGCGGCTCCCTGACACCCACAAATTCTATACAAAATCCCAGAAATTGAGTGAGAGAGAGAAACCCTGTTTCCAGGATATTCAAGGTCATTTTTGGTGATTTAATCAAAAGTTGTCACCATCTGGAATGATAACAGTATGGATAAAAGATAGAAAGCTATTGTGTATGTAAATGGTAGATGTGGTGCATTTACCAGAAAAGGTCAAACTGGAATTTTACTGTGGTTGAACAGGTTTTATGTATGAAAGTGGCTACTCTTTCTTCCTTGGTTTTTATGCTGATTTGAACTTTTTTGTAGGATTGCCAAAGATCCCCGCTTTGATCGATTACCTTGCTCACACAAAGGAACGTATGCTGACGACTGCTTGGTGCAAAGAGTAATGCAGGTATGAGAACTTTGTAAGCTTTGGTGTTATAACTGTTTCATGTTCTCAAATGAATGGAAAGAGTGGAATACTGCTGCTTATTCATTAGTGAATCAAGCCATTTAAAATGGAAATTTTTCACCTGAGATTTGGAACTAAATTACAAGTGGGGAAATGCCTTAACTAAAGTGGCAGCATCATCATTATTTGTAAGGATTTTCAAAATGACCCCCCCCCCCACCACCACCACACACACAATTTTGGATTCCATAATGTATTAAATATACCTTAATGTCCTTGTAGATTTTGGTTCACAGATTTGATTTTAATCTTCATTTTAAGACCCTAAATGGTTCCAGAGATATACTGGAGTTATAGTGTGGCTCCAAGAATTTGTTCAATTGTACAAATTTTCAGTGGTCAAAAACCAAATGTGGGTCACTTTGCATACAGAAGATACTTTTTTTTCTGTTCAACAGATTGTTCAAATCTGAGTGCTTAATTCAGGGCGGACATTTGGCCATTTATATTTAATTTCTAAGAGATATAACCATAACCATAAAACATTTTGTGTTTAGGTCCAATTTTGACCCAAGTATCACCTTTACAGGCTTTACACAATGTTATGCAGACATTTTTTTACATGACCTTGGCGTTACTAGCATCATGCTGTACAGGAGCTACAGGAATGTGACTTCTCTCAAAAATGTAACCTCTTTCCATGTCTTTCACACACTTTTGGGACTGAATTTTGTTGATAAACATGAATATGCACGTCTATTGATGATCAATATTTTCATGCTGCAATATTTATATAAATTGTGTATGACTGTTTAATAAGCTTTCATTCCACCGGGTCCAAATAGACCCAGGAATGCAAAAGTTGAATGCAGATTTTGAGTGCATTATGAAGGTTAAGGCACAGCAAATGTGGAGGGTTCACAAAAATGAATGAATAAATTAAATGATTGATTAAAATTAGATTTTTAAATATATATTAGGAGTGAAAATTAAGTGATTTCACAAATCAATAAAATAAGTGACACTATGAAACAATTCTAATCTCAGAGCTGATACACATTTTATATCTTGCTTTACATTGTGACTAAAGCATTCCCAATTGTTTCATTAGCACAAATGTTACATTGTGGCCACAGTGGACAGGGACCTAAAAAGGAGGATTCGGAAGATCCCAGGAGTCCCCATCATGTACATTTCCAATCACAGGTACTCAAGCTCTATTCGCTAAGTCTCGCCTTAATGTTACTGAGGAGGGTCTCTAGTGAGTACAAGTGGAAAAAGCCTAGGTTATGTGCAAACTTCAGAAATTGAATAAAGCCTACTGGTAAATGTGTGTCCAGGTATGTCCAATCCTGCTCTTGAAGGAACACCATTTTGAAGAATATTTAGTAGGGATGCACCGATACTGGTATCGGTATCGGGCCCGATACTGGTCTCCTGTACTCATACTCGTTAAAATGCCCCGATACCAAACGCAGATACCACACAGCATGTGTTAAGCGCCATATTCAAACAAAGAAACACCAACAACAGACAGCAGAAAGGAGTTAAGGATGTCTACTACGAAGTATATGTATGCAATGAATATAATGTTAAACATTCAGTATTAACGCCTGTATAGCTGATGGGCTAAATTTTGGTTTGACTGTATCTATTTGATAAATGAAGTTAACCAACTAACATTATACATACCCTTTTGGTTTCTGTACCCAATATTTAAAAAATTTACAAATGCAATAAAAATATCGGTACTCTGTATCGGCAAGTACCAAAAATAAAAGAATCGGTATCGGGCGAGTACTGGAAAATGGTGGTATCTGTGCATCCCTAGTTTTTAGGTGTGTTTGACTCCGGCTGTAGCTGGATTTTAACGTTTGGTGAGACTTGCTGCTTGCAGTCAGGAGAGGAGTTGAAAATGGAGACATGAAGTCGGACACTTTCCGCTTCCCGTAGTGATGCTCTGGCAGTGTTTGCGTACTTTTTTTAATTATTTTTTTTATGATCAACATTTTTATTACTCATACTCGTTACATCAGAAACGTATATCACAATTCACAGTTCCAGAGAACTATGTACAAACAGATGCCATGAAGCTGTCCACTTGTACCAAAGGAGAGGAAGAAAAATAAAAGAAATAAAGTGTTTTCATGTAGCAACAAATACTATTCGTTGAAAAATATAAGCACTGCTTAATATGGTACCTATATAAAGATGAATAAAATAACATAGGCCAATACTATTAAAATAACATCAAAATGCTAAATTATTTTAATTCTATTTTTACAATAGGGATACATGAAATTAGTTAGTACTATTATAAAAACACAGATTTGTGAGCATTACCAGAAATGAAGGTGTCAGAATGACATGAAACATGATCGTTGTAATGATGAGTCTGGCCAATGGTATAACAGCTGTATTGTTATCAGAGCGTCCAACCACTCTGGAGAAGCTGCACAGATTGAGCCAGCCAACTGGTCTCAAATCACTCTCACTGGACTTTGATGGCATATGTTTCAGTGACATAGCATCACCACCGTTTCATGTTGGACAAAATTTCTAACTGGCATGCATTGCTTCAAGTCACACCGTCTGTGCAGCGCCGAATCAAGTCAAACACACCTATTGTCATTACAGGAGATTCTATAAAGATTTTCTGACTGAGTAACCGTAATCAAGTGTGGTGTAGCTTTACTGAATGGCTCAATTTAGACTTGTATGTGTATTTCTATATGAATTTATATTATGTATATTTTTGTATTTATTGTAACAGAAGAAAATTATCTTGTCACCTATGTAAATTAATAAAACTTATAATGTTTTTTACAGGTATAACATTGAGAGAATGCCAGACGATTATGGTGCACCACGGTTGTAGAACACAGATGTTTGTGGGGTTTTTTTTTTATTTTTGTTATAAGAATTTGTTTGGTGGAGATCCCCCACCTTCTACCTTTAAATGATTTCCCTTGTGAATATTGTTCAGAACTCAGTACAATAAAGTTTTTGGCTGCCCAGATTCCCAGCAGCTCAGATTACATTAGAGGAAATTAAAAGGAGGGGGAAATAGGAAGAAAATAATCTGCAACCAATGGAAACGACATGAGTCCAAATCTAGTGGCTATTGTGGGGAACTTCAGTGATCTAGGATCTCCTCTTATTGATATTAATGTGTTATTGATTTAAATTATTTGGTGTCTCCCAACAATAATATTGATTTAATCAAACACATTAAATTGGCCAAGTAGCCTTAAACTATTACAGTATGTTAACAGCTCAACAATGCAGTGTTAAAAAATAATGAACATTTCCCGTGAAGCCACTCCCTGGTACTCTTATATGTCCGTTTAGGATCTTAGGATTTATTTGCTGACCACATTCTTTTGTATTTATCTTAATGACATCTCTTGGAGGCTGTCGTAAATAAAAATCACCATTGATAGACAAGTTATCAGTATCCTTGTTTATTTCAAATTATTGTTGTTTGTCAATTATTATTGTTAATTATTGTTAGCTTCATGTGGCTAAAACCATATTTACATTGTGCAGGCCTACACAGGATGATTTGAATGCAATTCATTTTAAAATGGGCTGCAAAAGGAGCCCCTACCAAGTATTGAGTACATGTACAGTAAATAAACATACTTTCAAGAAGGCCAACAATTCACAAAAAAATTTTTTTTATTGGTCTTATGAAGTATTCTAATTTGTTGAGATGCTGAAATAAATGAACTTTTCCACGACATTCTAATTTATTGAGATGCACCTGTGTGTATATATGTATATATACATATATTTTTTTTACTATCTAGCTTTTGCTGTTCTGAGGAATGATTTGTACCTGTCTTAAAATCACTACACTGCCGTATGTGCGCCAAGCAGTATGTGTAAAATTATCACAAATCAGTGAGCATTCACTGTAAAAAATTTACAGTAAAAAACCTGCAGCTGTGGTTGCCGGAATTTTACCGTAAAAAATACTGTAGCAACATTTTAGGTTTTACGGTTTTAACTTAAATTTACAATTAAATACCGTATTTTCATCAACTGATATAATGTTAATATACCAACCTATTGAAGTACTGAAATCTGTTTTGCACCTTTGTAATACACTGATAACAACCCAATGCAGGTGGTGATGAGAAAGTCACATGATGAACCAAAGCCCATCACAAGCAGCTTTTAAACAATAACATATATAGAAGGTGCACAGTGTCATTCACACAGATACTAAACACCATCATGGTAACGCACATGAAACTGAAATAATGCAATAAACATTAATTTAACAACATTAGGTGTAACACACAACCCTAATATACAAAACTGATAAGAAAAAACTAAGAAGAAACATAGTTGTTTCAACAAAAAAAAACATCAAATTTGAAATGTAACGCAGGGAATTCTGGGAATGTCAATTTACGGTTATTCACTGTAAATTATACGGTCTTTTTCACTTCCAAAAACGGTATACTACCGTAAAATTAATGTCCAATACATGTAATGTCCAATACAGTGTTTCACCGTATATAGTAGGGGAATTTACCGTTAACCATTTAACAGGTTTTTACTGTATCGTTTTTACAGTCTTTTACCATTAAATTCACAGTAATATTTTACAGCGTTGTTATAAATACTTGGCTCCAGTGTTTCACCGTATATAGTAGGGGAATTTACCGTTAACCATTTAACAGGTTTTTACTGTAGCGTTTTTACAGTCTTTTACCATTAAATTCACGGTAATATTTTACAGCGTTGTTATAAATACTTGGCTCCACTTACCCCACTGATCATGTGGTGTTAAGTGATGTCAAGAAGTGCGAAGAATGGGACTGGTTCTCAATCATGATCATGGCAGTCACATAAAAAAATTTCACATTTCTCTTGTTTCAGGGTTGTTGCAGATCTTAATTCACCCTTTCGTAAATTCTGACCTTAAAAGGTATTAAATTGGAGCAGAAAGTTTTAAGTCATGGAATTAAATTGCATGAGGGATTGTTTTCTTGTTGCGTTTCATTTTTAAATGAAGAGAAGGCGTAATATCTCTGTGGCTTAGTGGCTGTATGTGCTGATTTGCCTGTCAGTAACCTGTAGATTAGAAGAACCTGATGAACGTGCAGATGCACCTTTTCTGAATCTTGCCGTTTAGAGAAGTAGTTAGATTGGGGAAATATTTGTTCCAGCCTAAATGTCTTCAAAAGAAAAATACAAATTGAGTGAGTTTGTTGATTTTGACTATAGTTTGTGGTCACTTCCATTATTAATGACAACAAATAGTTTTTAAGAACTGCTGTTTCAATTTAATATTTGTATAAGAATACTTGCATACTCGCAAAATGCATTTGCAGTGCTCATTTTATCAGTTTTGTTAATGTTTAGTAAATGGTTTGCCACCTGAAAAAAAATTGTAGGATTTACTTAGAAACAATTTTTTGCATTTTTCAAATAATTATAAAGGAATGATAGAATTAAACATCAAATGTTGAAAGATTAAAATAGTTTTTCTTTTAAACTGCATGTATTTCATTCCATAGCTCAAGTGAAACGGCAGTGTCATAAAGTTTAATAGCTTATGGGTCTGATCAGAAAGTACAGAAGTTAGTGGTTAGGAGCAAAGAAACCATCTTTTTTGTAAAATAATTTAAAAAGCAATGGCGATTTGTTAAAAGTTGTTTTTCATCATGCTTCCTAGGCAAAATGTTGATGTATTGTGTTCACTTCAATTTATTCTATAAAGTTTCTTTACTTGGTCTTAAAAAAGGACTTTGTACACTGCCTCTTTTAATTGGAGAATATAAAAGGAAGCAGAACAATAAATTGACAAAGTAATGCAAAATCTAGACCAAAGGCTTCAAATAAACTGTTGAAAATACGATAGCATAAAATAGCATTTTTGAGAATATGTCTGCATGTTGCCATTGTCATTTCCTACAGTCTCAGTTTGTTATTTATGTGACATACTCCTCTCCATCTGGCATTGAAAATATCTAATTACCTTTGCATCAGGCATGAAACGGCACAATCCAAACCAAGGTCTTTTGGATTTGCTGCAGATAGAAAGATTGAGAGATAGTGAAGGCAAAGCAAACATTCAACCTTGACACTTGATACGGTGTGATTATAGAAGAGATTAAGGACAGCATTAATTACAGTTTAATTTATGTGTTAGTAAATCATGTTAACAATCTGAATGTTTGAATTTAAAAAAACAACAACAAACAAATGTGTTCTGTACAAGATGTGTTTTTTCAATTAACAATGTAAACGATACAAGTCAGAGATCTCAAAGATAAAATACTGTTAATTGAAACTACAGTACATATTCAGTTCTTTTCTTCATTTACCTAATGGATTACAAGGTCAGCAAGGGAACGGTCACACACTCGGTCACGCGCACACACACACACACACAAACGGGGCAGACGTAAGCAAGGTATAAAAGCTATGCCTGTTTCTGAGAAAAGAGATTAATCACATCTTGCAGGAAGTCAAGAACAAAGGTAATTTTTCAAATGAAATATTTGTGAGCTTAACGAATACATTTAAAATGTACAAATGTAGCAAATTCTGAGAAGAATGATCCGTGTATGTATTTGATGTATTTTGAAAATATGAGTCCAGTTCTGAAAGTATGTTCTATTTTAGTGTTTTTTCCCCCCTTTTTCTCTTCTATTATAGCCACCATGGTTTGGACAAGATATGCTGGAGCAAGTATATTATTGTTTTTAATGCTTATTCATCTTGGACAACTGTATCCAAGAAATGATATGAATAACTGTAAGTTAATACCCAGTTACTACATTTTGATACTTCGTATGGGATCTTTTCCTTTACTATTATTTTGTATTTTATACAAGTTGGATGTGAGGAGTGCAAACTCAAAGAGAACAACATTTTCTCAAAACCTGGAGCTCCTGTCTATCAGTGTATGGGATGCTGCTTTTCTAGGGCTTACCCCACGCCTCTGAGGTCTAAGAAAACCATGCTTGTTCCAAAAAATATCACATCAGAAGCTACATGCTGTGTAGCCAAAGAAGTTAAACGGGTAAAATGTGCACTGCTATTGCTATAATATTGCGTTTCATTATATTATTATTTTACTCAAATGTATATAGGCCTAACAAAATTGTTTTTGTATTTGTTAGGTGCTTGTCAATGATGTCAAACTAGTGAACCACACAGACTGCCACTGCAGCACCTGTTACTATCATAAGTCTTAAAAAATATTGTGACATTCAAGATTTGCTTGTGTTTGCCTAAAACTAGTTATATTCCCGTCTACCTGTCATTTTATGCCAATTATAAGAATTTTGTTTGTTGTGCATATTTACTTTTCTACCATGCACATTTATTCTATAATTGTCAAGGCTGGGTGGTTTTTCCACCACTTCTTTTCCAAATGGTTGCCATCATTATTGTAACCAACATCTAAAGAGCATAGAATGTGATATTTTATCATTAATAAAAATCTAAGAAAAAATCATCACTGCACTCTGTTTGATGTTAGTTTAAGCCCTCTTTTATTGGTAATTGCTCACTTATTTTGTCATCTTGCTGTTGTAAGATCAAATCCATAACTTAAAAAATATGATTGCTTGTGACAGCATTTGTGTTTATTTTTTCTCCATTGTTAAACCTGCTTTATCCTTTGCATGGATCGAGGGTGACTGAAATTCCTACACACTTACAAATAAAGGTTTAAAAGTGGGTTTTCATTGAAGCCATAGAATAACCATTTTGGAAGAAGAATTTTCAGTAAATACTTATAAGAACCTTTTTTTTCCCTCAGTGTGAAGAACATTTTAATCAAAAATACTTCAGCCTGATGCCATACTGGAACAAACTCCCACACATGCTGAGAGAAACTCAGCAAATGCAAACCTGGTTTAATGATAAAAGATTAACCAGTGCAACAAGACCACCAAACACACAATAACATCAACGCATTTAAATAAGAAACCTTTATTGTAGATGTTTTGATAAGAATGGGCTCTCCCTCACTCTCTGAGCCTGCTTT